TGCCGCTGACGGCAGAGTATAGGCTCGACGCTTCAGCGCCATCCATTTTCAGGGCTAGTTGCTTCGGCAGGTGAGTTGTTACACACTCCTTAGCGGATTCCGACTTCCATGGCCACCGTCCTGCTGTCTTAAGCAACCACCCTAGTAGCACAATACATTGGCAGTACATTGGCTAAACATTAGTCATATTGGCCAATATTGGTAATAACTTGGCCAAATTTCCCAATGCACAACTAATATTGGTTGTTGTAAAATAAATGTAATCGCACTGCCAATATTGCAATGCCCATGATGACACCAATATTGGTTAATAATTAAATTCAATATGCTGCCAATACTACAATATCTATGATGATTCTAATATTGGTTGATAAATAAATTCAAATATGCTGCCAATATTGTAGTGCCCGTGATGGTACCAATATTGATTGATAAATAAATTTAAATATGCTGCCAATATTGCAGTGCCCATAATGGTACCAATATTGGTTGATAAGTAAATCCAAATATACTGCCAATATTATAAATTCATGATAATATCCATATTGGTTGATAAGTAAATCCAAATATGCTGCCAATGTTACAAATTTATGATGGTATCAATATTGGTTGATAAGTAAATCCAAATATACTGCCAATACTACAAATTTATGATAATATCAATATTGTTTGATAAGTTAATCTAAATATGCTGCTAAATTGCAGTATTTATATGATAATACTATAATATGAGTAAGTCCAAATATGCTATCAATATTGCAGTACTCATGTGATATGTATATATATCTTGCGAGGTATATTAATATTATTAGATTATTATAAGTAAATGTTCATGAAACATGTTAAATTCATTAGTAAATTTTAATATTATATGTTTATTATATTTAAATTTTTTTTATCTTATAATTTTTTATATAATATACTGTGTGATATTTTTTCTTTTAAATAGATCATATAATTTTTGAAAATCTATGCTTTTTATAAAATCAGTAAATCGATCTGACGTGTAATGATTTTGGCAGTAAATTTAAAGGTTTTTTATCTACGTATGCAAATTACAAATTACACGCTTAAACAAGTTGTACATTATACATGGCCCGTCAGCAGTCAATGGCCAAGTCATTGTCAACGCTCGATTTGATTTGTTAGACATCGAAATGTTTCGAATTTCGGCAAAACATCAAAAGATTCGCTATTCGATTCGAGATTCGGCTTGTTAATATGAATCGGACATAAAAGTAAGAGACCATGTTCGAGTAATACTAGACGGTTTTGCAGAGCGAGTGAGGGCGCTAGAAAGAAAGAGAGAGAGAGAGAGAGAGAGAAGAGAGAAAGAGAAAGAGAGAGATTTGTGCCTCGTGCCGGCTGTGTTTCCAACTTTAGGCCGCTGCCGGCACTCACACATACGTGTGATCGCGTACATGTGCTGCGCAAAACGTTCTGCGCAGCACATGTACGCGATCACACGTATTCTTGAGTGCCGGCGCGGCCCAAAGTTGAAAACACCTCGTGCTTCGTGCCGCCATAAGTTGCTTAACCTGATACCAGTGCAACGTGGTGTATTCATCGCTGTTCTTAAACAAAAGTAGACGTATTGTGCACATTATTATCGTTACATTTTTTGTTTGGATTAAAATTTGTATGCTGGCAAAGCATTTATTTGTTCAACTAGTGTATGAACATTCTTGAATATTCTTTACAAGAATAAAAAGAAGAAAAAGAACACGTGCATGAAGAACGACAAAGGTTAGTATTTTTTTATTAAAATAGCTACATCTAACTATTTTTAAAGAATTTCTTTTGTACTTTATTCATATCTTAATATAAATATAAATGTATGTACAACTTCTTTAGATTATAAAATTGTTGCTTTGTGCCATGTGCTTCATGCCGCCATAAGTTACTTAACCTGATACCAGTGCGTGGTATGTTCACTGCTGCCTTAAACAGAAGTAAACGTATTTGTGTACGTTATTATCGTTACATTTTTCGTTCGAATTAAAATTTGTATGCTAGCAAAGCATTTATTTGTTCAATTAGTATATGAACATGCAGTCTTGAATATTTTTTATAAGAATAAAAAAAAGAAAAGGAACACGTGCACGAAGAACGAAAGGTTAGTTTTTTTATTAAAATAGCTACATGTAACTATTTTTAAAGAATTTCTTTAGATTGTAAAATTGTTTATAACTATTATTTTACAAGGTCTTTATTTTCCAGCAAAATCTCAGCAGTTGTTCGTTCGCATACGACGAAGCAAAATATAATTACGAAAAAGGCTACTTTGAGTTTTAACATCAAATTTTCACATTTGCGTACGAGAAAGTAGAAAAGAAGTTATCTTACAGCCAAGGTAAAAATCTTTTTTAATCTTTTTTACTCCTTGTTATAGGATTTATTATTTTCTCCCTCTTGCACTATACACTCAATAGCTCATTTTTCAAATCATATTTTGCAGATTAATGTGCTGTTTTCCTTGATATCTATTTCAATCCTATCCTCTAAAAATATTTTTGTATTTATTTTTATATCCATTCCATTGCATACATACAGAGATTATATATAGATATATAAAAAGTATATATAAAAATAAATTCATATTTTTAGACATATAGATTTAATGAAATCATATACATATATAAAATATAAATATATTTTTAACCACGCATACATAGAATTTAATTGCAATGTCTTCAAAGAGACGTACTAAATGGAAAACAATAAATGAACGAGTTAAAAAGCATCTTGCGACAATTGAAAAAGAGGATATTGAAACAAATAGTATTGAAGTATTGAGCAATTCAGAATATTCTAAAGAATCTGTTAATTCTGACTTATCTGAGTATTGTCAGCAATTTAATAATTATGAATTTTCTTATGATTCGTTAACAAATGAAGATAAAAATATAAATTCTAATTGTAATATTAATAATGAAACTGACAGCGTATGTTCTTCTATCGAATATCATTTATTTGAAGATTTTGATGAAGAAAATTCTAATGACAATAATATTACAGAATTTTCTATTCACAATAATTTTAATGTGTTAATAAATTCTATAGAAAGTATTAAATCTGATCTAACAAGTAATCTTGCCCAGTGGGCTCTTGAATACAAAATCTCTCACTCAGCTTTAAATTCCCTTTTACGTACATTACAAAAACATAATCTTATTGCATTTTCAGATGCTAGAACTTTATTAAAGACACCAAGAAGTAGTTCCGTTTTTGATATGTTTGATGGAAAATATTGTTATTTTGGCATTGCCAATAATTTAAAAAATTTGTTTTTAAAAGAACCCTTATTAAAATCACTAAAAGAAATAAATTTATTTGTGAATATTGATGGATTGCCATTAGCTAATTCTTCATCAATTCAATTTTGGCCAATACTTTGCAAGATAGATCAATCAGTGTATAATAAACTTGATCCTTTTATCGTTGGTGTATATTGTGGGCAATCTAAACCTCCAGATGTACACGAATATTTAAAAGATTTTATACAAGAATATGAGAATCTTTGTGATGTTGGTATAATTATCGATGAAAAACAATATTCAGTTACAATTTCAGGCTTTATTTGTGATGCACCTGCTAGAGCGTATCTTAAAGTAATTAAAGGACATAATGGTTTCTATGGTTGCGAAAGGTGTATTCAAAAAGGATCACATCCATTTGGTGCAACATTATTTAATAAAATTGATGCTGAAAAAAGAACAGATCAGAATTTCTTGCTACAAACACAGATAGAACACCATAATGGTATTTCTCCTTTAGCGGAAATTAATTTTTCTATGGTTACTAAATTTATACTGGATCCAATGCATCTACTCTATTTAGGAGTTATGAGAAGAATGCTTTTTCAAATGATACAGGGAAATAATTATTTTTGCAAATTAGATGCAAGAAAAGTCAGTCTCTTATCCGAAAGATTAACATTATTACACAAATACATTCCAACAGATTTTGCAAGAAAACCACAAAGTATAAATAAAGTTAAAAAATGGAAGGCGACTGAATTACGTCAGTTTCTTTTGTACACTGGATTTTTTGTTTTAAACGGAATTATTTCAAATAAGCATATAGAACATTTTAAGATTCTTCATACAGCCGCATTTATCCTTTCACATCCAAATTTAGCAATTCAATTATGTAATTATTCACAAGCTTTACTAATAGAATTTGTTAGAACTTTTGATGAGTTTTACGGGCCAAATTCTAAAATTTACAATATCCATAATTTGATTCATCTTACAGATGATGTTAGAAATTTTAAGAAGCCTTTAGATGATATAAGTGCATTTGACTTTGAAAATTTACTTGGGAAAATAAAAAGATGTCTTCGGGGTGGAAAAAAACCTTTATCACAGTTATCACGACGACTTTCTGAAAGTGCTTCCATTTCTGTAAAATATACTTCTAATTGGGAGTTGAAACATAAACATGAATGTGGACCACTTATTGCTGACACAGAAAACTCTATAAGTCAGTATAAAGAGATAATTATTCATAAATATCACTTTGTCACTTATCGTAAAGCTGATCGTTATGCGTTGTTAAAAAATGGAAAAGTTGTGCAAATTTATAATATTATTCTTAAAAATGCACAAGAAATACACTGTGTCGATTTAATTTGTAAGCAATTTACAAAATATTGCAATTACTTTAGTTATCCTTGTGAATCTCAAAAGTTAAAAATATATAGAATGTATAAATTGGAAAACACATTTAAAGTAATTAAATTATCAGAAATAGAAGCTAAATGCATTGTATTTAAAGATAACATTTCACATATTGGATATCCTCTTTTACACACAATTACTGTATAAATTTAATTAAGATAATATTTATGTCTCTTTTCATATAAAATTTTTATATTAATGTATATATATATATATATATATATATATATATACACACACACATTATATATATATATATACACACACACACATATATATATATATATATATATATATATATATGTGTGTGTGTGTGTATATACATACAATATATACATATATACAAACATTTTAAAACGTTTATAGAATTATTTCTGTTAGAATTTGATACATTTGATGAATCTTGAATATAATAATAAGACAATTGGTCTGAAAAACAAAGCAAGAAAATAATTATCAAAATATATATGTAAACATCTCTGTATGCAGATGCAAAAATATTCCATAGTTGAATTTAATGATGAAAATACCGTTGAAATTATTCCTTCTTCTTGGATATCATTTGATAAAGAAACTACATTATGGCCCAATACTATATCTCCTGCCATTCTAAAGAAATATTTGAAAAATAATACTCAGCCCAATGATGATTGGACTTCTGTACATATAAGAGTTTTAGGACATGCAGGTATTGATTTTTTATATTTTCATTGTCATAGTCACTTTTCTATTAAGCTGTTTTATTATACATACTTATATGTTATAATACAAGATAAATGAATAAAAGTTATCAAACTAATATAATATTGAAATGAAATAATTTAAAAATAAAATATTTTATTATAAGAATGTGTTGATATATAAAAATATGCAAATTTTCATAGAAAATTATGATAAAAAAATATTAATTCAATTTTTCATATTTTTTGTCTACTTTTTTTGTCTATATACATTCCTTTTTATAGATAATTTAACTGAAGCCATGAAAAAAGCGGAAAGAGCACAAGATACGTCTCAGTTAAGTAGTAGTGATGACTCTACTTCTGATACAACAAATACACGACAGAAGAAATTCCAACATAAACATCACAATTTGTCTGATGAAGATGATGAAGATGATGCTTTAGCTTCAAAAAATCAGTATAAAATAAATTCAGAGAAAGGTCCTAAATCCAATAAAAATAAAAGCATCCAAAGAGATGAAGCAGAAAAGTCAAAGAAGATTTCATATCAAAATCTAAATAGTTCTTCCAATGAAGAAGATGATCTAGCTTCAGGAAATCAGTGTACAGTAAATTCAGATAAACGTCCTAATGTTCCATCTTTTCCTGATAATGAGTTAAATTTACAAAGAGATTCTCAAGCTGATCCTGTATTATCCAATAAAAGTAATACAACCATCCAAAGAAGCGAAGTAGAAAAATCAAAAAACATTCAACAAATTAAAGAAGGTAAAATTCTATTACTGCCATATTTTAATTTAAGAAAAAATGGTACTTATAATTTAGTTAATTTTATTAATACAAATATAACTTTTATATAATTTTTAATCGATTTTCAGGCATTTTAACAAAAATTTTTAAATTAATGGAAGAAGTTAGATTTGAAACAGTTGCATTGAAAAAGGGACAACAAGAAATAAAAGTAAAATTAGATACTCTATTGACACACAATGATAATAGTGTCATAAACACATTTAGTCACCTTCTTCCGATTTGTTCCATGGAGTCCTTTGATGAAATTGATCAAGGTTTGAAAAATTCTGAAGAAAACTTTATATCTTTGGTAAGAATATAAAAAATAAAAAATATCTTTTTCATTAATTTCACAATGTTTTTGGAAAATAGCATGTTTTACATTATACAAGATTTTTATATTACATTACATTTAGCGTTAAAGAAAGAAATAAGCACAAAAAAACTTGTTATTTTAAAAATGTAATATTTAAAAACAAAAAAAGAGCTATATAATACAATTTACCTGGGAGAATTTGTAATTGAAATAATTTAGCGAATTGAATAAATATGTTTGTTATATATAAGCAACTGTTTTAACTTTTAGATAAAATATCTCAACCTTGGTTCAGGAGAAACTGTAAAGGCATTAGTGCCATCAGTAATGAAATTACTTATGAAGAAGACTGTTTCCATGCATTTCAGTGGTTCCGGAAAACAAAAAAAACGTGATTTTTCTGCAACTAAGGTTGCTGCTGCAGTATTTGGTAAGTTATATTTTGTTAGTAAAAATATTTTTAAAAATATCTAAAGTAACTAATAACATTTAAGAAGTTTGTCAAATGTTATAAAAAAGGCAATACAATATATATATATATATATATATATATATATATGTAAGATGTTTTTTTTCCGCAGATATAGAGAGGTGATAAATGATTGCTTGAATTTGTTTCACTGAAAAACAGAGTGGTATTTTATTCGCGACACCTGTTGCGATTTATACTATTATTTACAATTATTTACAGTAAGCTTACCTGAAAAACAGAGAAACGACAATTACAAGCCAATTCACTAATATTAGTTATCAAATTACTTATTGAAATCAAATTAGTTTCTTTTTCTAACATTTATTTTGCACGTGTGCTTCTTCTACTCAGTCCCTCTCTTTTCTCTCGATCATCGGTCTTCCTACCCATATTGTGTTGTTATGACATTTGGCGAATCATGATAGAGGCGCGTGGAGCATGCGTGGCGCGCCCAGTTTAAATTAAAGAAAGCGTTTCTTTACATCTCCCCTCCTAGGGTGAAAATACCTGGGATTTTCGACCATTACCTTCGTCCGCCGCCGGAAGCAGTTTTGTAACGTGGAAAATACTCGTGTCTTGGTTTCTTCTTCCAGTTTTAATTGTGTAAATCGAATTCGATATCTTGTTTTCTATTTTAAACGGTCCAATTCTCAGTTCATCTAGTTTTTTTCTATTGAGTTTGTTTCCGTTTTCTATGTAGACCATATCTCCCTCGTTGAATTCATGGTGTTTCCTGGTTTTATCAAATATTCGTTTGTTGTACTCATGAGATCTTTTTGTTCTATCCAGAGCTAATTGCCTATTTTTTTCCCAGTTTTCTTTCTTCATGTTTTTATCTTTTATTTCTTGTGGCAAAATACTCGTGTCTGTGCCATCTAACAGGTATCTTGGTGAGAAGCCGGTGACTGTATGTTCCGTCTCGTTATATCTTTTTACGCATTCTCTGGCGATGGTTGTCCAAGCTTTTCTTCCCCTTTCTCCTTCGTTTATTTTACATCGGATTTTATTTACTAATGTCTGATTCAGTCTTTCATTCAGACCGTTTGAAAATGGTGCATTCACTGCTGTAAAGATTAGTTTAACGTTATTTTCTCTTAGAAATTCCTTGAATTCTTTCGAGTTTATACCTGGATATTGGTCTGTGAGAACTGTTTTAACTTTTTCTGATTTTATTATATCTGTTACCAGTTTTATGAAGTCCGTGGCGTTTTGCGTTCTTGATGTGCCAATGTAGGCGTATCTCGTGAAGTGGTCGACTAGTAGGTGCAAATATTTTTTTTTCGATCTGGTGCTACCGAATCCTCCAATTGTATCGATCGACATTATCTCAAATGGTTGAGTTGCTGGTCCCAATTGTGACATCCTACCGAATTTATTTTGGCCTCTTGTTTTATTTTTTATACATACCTCGCATTCTTTACAAATTTTCCTAATATTCCCTGTTAGATTTCTAGCGGTATAGTATGGACAGATTTTGCTCGTCATTTGTCTTATACCCATATGGCACCAATCCGAGTGAACTTCTTTTATTAATTTTACGCTAGCCTTCTCTGATAAAATAATCTTTTTTTTGTTTCTAATTATTTTGTATAATATTCCATCCTTTTTTATTATTTTACCTTTTAGCTTTTCTATTCTTTCATTTTCCCTCTGATCTAGCTCTATTTCTTCTATTTTTATCAAATTCACTATCCTTAGTGTTTCTTCGTTGTTTGTTTCTGGCTCCAGTACGGGGTTTCTGCTCAGGCAGTCTGCTTCTATGTTATTTTTTCCGGGAACATACTTAATCGTGAAGTCATATTGGGATAGGTAATATGTTAAATCGCCTAATTCCTCGTCTGTTCTTGCTTTTATGTTCATTTTCTCTAGTGGTTTGTGGTCAGAATATACCTCGAAATGTCTCCCTATTAGCCAGTGTTGCCAGTATTTCACTGCTTCTTTAATAGCCAAACACTCTAAATAGATTGCCTTTTTCTTTTTCTGTGCCTCATTTAATTTTTTTGAAAAATAGGCGACTGGTTTTTCGTTGCCATTATCTTGTGTTTGTTTCAACACCGCGCCTATACCTTCCAGCGACGCATCTGTGTATATTTTTATAGGCAGGTCTCTATCGAAAATTTCCAGCACTGGTTGAGAACATAATAGTTGTTTGATTTTCGTAAATGCTTTTTCACAGTCATCTGTCCATGTAAATTTTTCGTTTTTTCGTAATAGTTTATGTAGAGGATCTAGTAATATCGAGCTTCTTGGTATGTATTCGTTGTAGAAATTTATTTTCCCAAGAAATTGTCTTACGTTTTTTTGTGTTGTTGGTGTTGGAAATTCTTGGATTGATATGACGTTATCTTTCAGTGGTTGAACCGTATTGTTACCTATTATATGTCCAAGATATTTAACTGAGTCAGCCGCGAATGTACATTTTCTGAATTTCAATCTGAAGCCTTCTTTCTTTATAGCTTCTAAAACTCGTGCTATGTGAATCAGATGTTCTTCAAATGATCGTGAGTGTATCAATATGTCGTCTATGTAGTTCGCTGCATATTCCGTTAGTCCATGTTTTCTTAATATGTTGCTTAAAATTCGTTGGAATATCGCCGGAGATGTTTTCAGGCCGAATGGTAAGCAAGTCCATTGGAAATGTCCTTCTTGGGTTATAAATCCCGTTTTGCTTCTGTCTTCTATTCGTAATGGTATTGACCAGAACGCTGAATTTATATCTAATGTTGTGTAGTATCCGCATTTTCTGGCTCTTAATATGATATCGTCTATTAGTGGAAATGGTTGTGCTTGAGGTATTATATTTTTGTTTAAATCTCGGAAATCGATGCAAAGGCGTGATTTTTTTTCTTCATCTCTTTTATATGCCAGCGTAACAGGCGCGGCGAAGGGGCTGTAAGACTCTTCAATTAGTCCTTTTTTTAGTAACTTTGCTATTTGTTTTTCAATTTCCTTTTTATCATCTATATTACATTTGTATGGTCTCTTGCTACAGTATCTGTCCACTAGCAGGTCAATTCGAGCTTCATAGTCTTTAACGGTTCCTACGTCATACTTGTCTTTGGCAAATACTGATTTATGTTCATCTATTAGTTTTTCTATTTCCTTTTTCTTCATTTTTTCTAAATGTTCTAACTTTATTTGAAAGTCATCTTCTTCTACATGTTCATTGAAGTTCACTGAACATTGTTCAATATTTCTCTTTTTTTTCCTCGCAGTGTCTGTTTTAATCTTGTTGCTTTCATTTGTCTTATCTACCTTTTCCTGTAATATTTTTAATTCTTCGTTTTGGGTTAGCTTAAATTTTTTTATCATATCTAGCCCAATTAAAAAATCTTCGAAATCTTCTCTGTTTACTATAAATACATCTACTTCATCTTCGATGTCAAAAATTTTTATCTTTATTGTTACTAGACCATCTGTTTTTTTCACACCATTAACTGTTTTTATGAGTATTTTGTTTTTATCCTCGTTTTGGTTTATTATTCTGACCAGTTTTGCATTTATCAGGGATATCTGGGATCCTGAATCATAGGTTCCATACATTTCTAATTTTCTATCTAGTAACATTTTTATTTTTATTAATGGTGTGATTACAAGTTTTTTTCTTGGTTGTTTAATTCCACCTCTAGTACTGACGTGTTTCCTATAATTCCGGATTTATTTTTGTTCTTTTCATGTTCTTTGAACCAGCATTTTTCTTCGGGATGATATCTTGCTCCTTTCCCTAAAGTCTCGCATGTACTACATGGTTTTTTTCAAAAATCCTCTTTTTATTGTCCAGCTTGTAATCTTTAACAATTTTTTTATTAGTTAGACTCTCATATTTCCTTATTTCATTAAATAAACTAGTTGAATCTTTAATCTCGTCCTGATCTATTTTGTCTGCTATAAAGTCTGGAATTCCGGCAATTATAATAGCGACTAATGATACTGGATCCATCTTTTTATTCACATCTAATAGCAATCGTTCTTTTTTTGTGGCGTAGCTAATCAAGGCACCCTCCTTGTATCTAAATGCGAGGGCATATCTCCATGAATTCCATCCCTTATCTGCGAACGTTTCTAAAAATCTCTCCTTCCATTCTGGCCAGTTATCATCTATCTCCAGTTGTGAAAGTGTTGCCTGATACCAGTCCATACAAGATTTATCTAAGAATAACCTCAATGCCTCAATCTTTATATTATTTTCTTCTATTTTGAATCTTTCACATTCTTTCTCGAACATTTTCATCCATTGCTGGGTGTTTGTTGTCTTATGTGCATATTTCTCCAGTACAAATTTTTCTGTAATCTTTTTCAAGTTTATCTCTTTATCTGGTTTTGTGTTGGATGTAACCAGCTGTTCCAACAACTTATTTAACATGCTATCTTGATTCTTGTCCTTTCCAAAGGCAATGTTTAGCAATTGACCTTTGAATTGTATATTTCCCATTTCATCTGAGTATACAGATCGTAGTTCTTCTGTTAGTTGTACCCATCCTATTCTTCTATCATGTCTCTTGATATTAGCCTTTACTTTATTGTATAAATCTGTCTTCTTTAGTTCACTGTGATGGGTTATGTTTCTGTACTCTTCGGGTAGTTCATACTTCTCTCCTTCTTCTGTCGTAATCGAGGTTATGTTCAACGTATTCGATTTCGGGTCTTTATCTGCCGCTGCTACAACGAATTTAAAACGTAGCTTTTGCATTTTGTATTTGTAGACTAATTGTCGTTTTGTAAGATGTTTTTTTCCGCAGATATAGAGAGGTGATAAATGATTGCTTGAATTTGTTTCACTGAAAAACAGAGTGGTATTTTATTCGCGACACCTGTTGCGATTTATACTATTATTTACAATTATTTACAGTAAGCTTACCTGAAAAACAGAGAAACGACAATTACAAGCCAATTCACTAATATTAGTTATCAAATTACTTATTGAAATCAAATTAGTTTCTTTTTCTAACATTTATTTTGCACGTGTGCTTCTTCTACTCAGTCCCTCTCTTTTCTCTCGATCATCGGTCTTCCTACCCATATTGTGTTGTTATGACATTTGGCGAATCATGATAGAGGCGCGTGGAGCATGCGTGGCGCGCCCAGTTTAAATTAAAGAAAGCGTTTCTTTACATATATATTATACACACTTCTTTAATTTTTGTTTAAATATATAATTATACATATATCAAACTGTTTTAAATATTTTAAATATTTGTTTTAAATATATTACTTGCATTGATATTGTAAAATTAAATTTTAGAATATTTCTTTTATTTTTAATATTTAGTATTAAAGCATAACTTCAGTATAATTTCATAAATTATAATAAATTTAATAACGATTTAAAAACTAAACTTGGACTAATAAAATTATACATATTGTTTATTACTAATTTAAAATAATAAGCTTGTTTATAAATTTTTTTGTTTCTAGAGGTTGTGTCGAAAAAAATTCCAAATGTATCCAGAAATGAAATTTTGCAAAAAATATCAAAATTCCTTGCAGAAAGTGGAGACAGAGAAGGAGGAAGAAAAGAAAGATTTTCGAAATCTACAAATTAGGTTTTTTCTTTCATAATTACCAAAAATTACAAAAAATTACCAGAGTACATTAAGTATAAAAGAAATTTATTTTGTTTAAATTTATTCATATGCAATTTTATTTTTATGCTATTATATATATATAATAATATAAAGTTATTTTTAAAGAAAATATATATCGAATATACATATATAATAAAAAATGTATGTTATTCGATAAAAAAGTAAAAGTAAAAGTAAGAAATATTTGATTAATTTTGTCTTATTAAAACTTTATTCGCGCGTTCATTTTATACTCATGTGCAAATATATGCAATTTTATTTTTATTTTAATATAAAATATTAGCATTTATTCTTATAAATATTACATATTATAAGTCTAGTATTATATATTATTCGATGTAAAAATATATAAGAAATGGAACAAGTATAAAAAATAAAACAAGTTTTGAAAATGATAAAGTTGAAAAGTTTATGAACAATAAACTTCTTATACATATAACATATACATGATTATTTTTTACTATCTATATAAGTTATTTAAATTTTAGTAAGACTACATTTGTATTTTTGATCAATAATATAAGCTAGACAACTTTCTTTTTTTAGTCAATATTAAATTATATAATTATCCTAATGCATTAACTTTTCTTCTTCAATCAATCAATATATGTACATATACATATACATATACATTAATTCATCCCACTTCCCTAGCGAGTTGCTATAGAAATATATATATATATATGTTACATATATATGTGTAATATATAGAATATATAGAAATATATATATATATATGTTACATATATATGTGTAACATATATATATATATATATTCTATAGCAACTCGCTAGGGAAGTGGGATGAATTAATATGTATATGTATATGTACATATATATGTTGATTGATTGAAGAAGAAAAATTAATGCATTGGGCTAATAATACAATTTAATATTGGCTAAAAAAAGAAAGTTGTCTATTTTACAATATTGGAAATTTATTTGTAGCCAATATAAAAAATATATAAAGAATCTTGGTTAAAGATGAAATAAATATATTGGTCTAATATTAAAATTAATATTGGTTTAATATTAAAAATTAATATTGGTTTAAAGTGACAGAGCGTCTACTTTACAATATTGGACCAATATGGAAAATTATACTATGGCCAATATTAAAACTTGGGTATATATTGTTAACCAATATTGTGCCAATGAATTGTGCTACTAGGGCAACGCCTTTCATGGTGTCCCATGAGCGTCGAGTTGGGCGCCTTAACTCTGCGTTTGGTTCATCCCACAGCGCCAGTTCTGCTTACTAAAAATGGCCCACTTGGCACTCTGATCCGAAGATGCTCGTGGCTTTATAATTCAAGAAAGCCAGAGATCTCACCCATTTAAAGTTTGAGAATAGGTTGAGGTCGTTTCGGCCCCAAGGCCTCTAATCATTCGCTTTACCAGATGAGACTCGCGCGCGTTCCGTGCGGAACGGCCGAGTGCCAGCTATCCTGAGGGAAACTTCGGAGGGAACCAGCTACTAGATGGTTCGATTAGTCTTTCGCCCCTATACCCAGTTCCGACGATCGATTTGCACGTCAGAATCGCTACGGACCTCCATCAGGGTTTCCCCTGACTTCGTCCTGACCAGGCATAGTTCACCATCTTTCGGGTCCCAACGTGTACGCTCTGGGTGCGCCTCTTCTCGCGATGAGAACGAGACGCCCCGGGAGTGCGAGGCCGCATCGCGACGCGGCCCATCCTCCCTAGGTCGACGGCCAGGGCCGACCTTCACTTTCATTACGCCTTTAGGTCTCGCGACAAGTCCCAATGACTCGCGTACATGTTAGACTCCTTGGTCCGTGTTTCAAGACGGGTCCTAAGAGTACCCAAAGCAGTAGCGTCGCCGACCGGTATCGGTCTCCCGCGAGACCGCGGGAGACGTTCGCAGGCCTGTCGAAGGTGTACCGTACTGTAACCAACAGCGGGCCAGGACCGGGGACGGCGCGAAGTCCGTAACCTCCGAGTACCGTGGCGCGCGCTTGCGACGGTCTCGACGCACCGTGAATGCGGCCTGATACCTTGCGCGTACCGCCGAGCAGCCGGCCGGGCGACCGAGGGTTTGTCGCGTGCCGTTTTACCGGCGACGCGACAGACACCGCACCCGGGCCGTAGACCGACACCCAGCGGGTCGCGACGTTCTACTTGGGGAGAAGTGCACGACGACGAGCGCCGGACATCGGCGCACGGTAGCGTGCCCGCGCGCGAGCCGCAAGGACTCCGCGGGACATCGCCGACCGACGCGAAGCCAGCGCCGCTGACGATGAATCTCCCCGTTCGATCTTTTGGGTTTCTTAGGTTTACCCCTGAACGGTTTCACGTACTCTTGAACTCTCTCTTCAAAGTTCTTTTCAACTTTCCCTCACGGTACTTGTTCGCTATCGGTCTCGTGGTCGTATTTAGCCTTAGATGGAGTTTACCACCCACTTAGAGCTGCACTCTCAAGCAACCCGACTCTAAGGAAAGATCCTCCCGAGGCGCGCACCGGTCGCTACGGGCCTGGCACCCTCTACGGGTAAGTGGCCCCATTCAAGATGGACTTGGACGCGACGCGGCACCTCGGGATAAGCGGATCCTCCCAAACACCACATTTCCCTGCGGCGGAACCGCGGGATTCGGTGCTGGGCTCTTTCCTGTTCGCTCGCCGCTACTAAGAAAATCCTGGTTAGTTTCTTTTCCTCCGCTTAATAATATGCTTAAATTCAGCGGGTAATCTCGCCTGCTCTGAGGTCGTCGCATAGTGAGTTTTCGTAGCCGTTTGCCTCCTCCGCGTCGCTCATCGTCGTCTCTCCTCTATAATATATATTATAAGAGGGAGAGAGAGAAAGCGTCGAACGAGAGAGCAGCAGCGGCAGCACACGAAATACGCGAGAAGGCAAATCGCCGGGGCGCTAACCGCACACACACTCGTTGGTGGTAATGGAGACGATATATCGCGGGGTTCGAGATTCTCGGCTCTCCCTTCTCTTTTATATACGAAATTCGGGCGGAATCGATTCGACGAGTACACGACGCGGCGCGCCGGTCCCCTTTTTCGCTTTATAAAAATTTCGTGGACTCGGACACGCGGTCGGCTCGCGATTCAAAACCCTTCTCCGTAAAGAGGTAAAGGATTACGAATGCTCTCTCCGCCGGACGACGACGCGCCGTATATTTCTCCGTAATACCGTTATGTGTGCGGGCAAGGGCGCCTCGGCATAAGACGCGCGAGCGCTATCGCACCGAGAGACGCGGCACAGAGTGCGAGAGCAGTCCGGTCAGTCTGTGTGATGTACGGAGAGGAGAGACGGTGAGACAAGCGCTACCTACTTTCGGGAGACAACGACGCACGCGCCGCTCTAGGGAAAGCGGTGCCATTCACCGTCCTGACCCTTTTTTTGGCCGTTTGTTGCTCCCTTTCGCGCGCGCTCTTACTCTCATCCCATTTCTCCTCGGCTCTCGCGTACACACACGACTTGGATACACAAACACGCTCCCCCTCTTAATTCGCGCAGCATTCTCTGGGCGCGCGTTCGCCAACGTTTTACACGCTTGTGCGCTTCTCCTCCTCATTATTATTATTATTTCGGTGTGTCATTTCAGACTACGCCAGGATTTGCACCGCGGCCGGTCGGCGCGGCACAGACACCTCGGGCGAACGTCCAACGATCGCTCGTACGCCCATTGTAAGCGTTGCACAGGGCACAGGCGACGCGCGCGCCATTCTCTGGTCGCCCGCGTCGTGGCCGTGCGCGCTTTTCGGGCGCAAGCAGTTTAGGGGTACTAAAACGACCCTCAGCCAGGCGTGGTCCGGGAATTGTATCCGTGGACCGCAATGTGCGTTCGAAATGTCGATGTTCATGTGTCCTGCAGTTCACAAGTTGACGCGCAATTAGCTGCGTTCTTCATCGACCCACGAGCCAAGTGATCCACCGTTCAGGGTAATCGTTCAAAATTTTTGCGTTCGCGAAGAAACGCGCTTCTCGTTCAACCATCGTGGTCTCTTCTCTCGGACGAGAGAGAGAGAGAGAGAGAATAATCGTGGTGGCTCTTCGATCAGCCTGTCCGCGCGCGTCCGAGGACGCGCGCGGACCGCCGCCTCCGCCAGGGAAGGCTACGGCACAAAGATAGAGTTTGGTGTTTCTCGTTCGGAGCGTCTCTCCCGCAACGGGAGAGCCGGCGGAAGCTCTTTGAAGAAACCGTCGGACCGACACAGTTTGACAGATTGGTCGAAATATCATCGATCCCTTTCTGTGTTAATATATATATATTATATAATATATGGGGGTCCTCTCGCTCGCACTGCGCGGTCGCACACCGTGTTTTCTCGGCACGCTGACCGCTGCCCCGCGACAACGGGGAGGGCGCGCGCGTCGACGAACGTCGTGGGTGCTGCACACACGCGTGCGCGGCATAGGTTACCACCATTTCGCGCTCAACGCCGAATCGACGCTTGTGTGTGTGTGTGGCCGGAGAATGGCACACACACGAGCGTGATCGCGAAGCGTCTCGCTCCGAATCGTCGTCGAACACCGCCGGGCGCGCTGCTCTGCTTGCCGACTACTTTCGGTCAGAGAGGCGCGACGGCGTCCGTCGTTATATCAAAACACAACAACAAATTCCGTCAATCCGTTATTTTCTTTTTCTCTGAGAGCGCCTTTTCAGCGCGTCCATTCATTCGCCGACTGCTGCGAGCGCGCGTCTCTTCCCAAAGAGAGACTCTCGACGCAGAGCAGGACTCCGGAACGTTAATGATCCTTCCGCAGGTTCACCTACGGAAACCTTGTTACGGACTTTTACTTCCTCTAAATGATCAAGTTTGGTCATCTCCCGGCAACATCGGCAATGCCGAGACATTGCCGCGCACCAGTCCGAAGACCCTCACTAAATCATTCAATCGGTAGTAGCGACGGGCGGTGTGTACAAAGGGCAGGGACGTAATCACGCGAGCTTATGACTCGCGGCTTACTGGGAATCCTCGTTC